GGTGCAGGGGGATCATATACCAAAGAAAGAATTATTCTTTTACTTTTCAAAGAGAGGAGCGAACTGGGGTGGGAAGGGAAGGCTGGGCAGGGAGAAAAGTGCAACAATGAATGAATGGAAATCCACAATGTTCATTAAAATTAATAAAATAAAAAACCACAAAATAAAAAAAAAACCCCAACGAGCAAAAAACCCCATGTACAGTATAGCACACTTTGAGTAGACTAATAGACATGGTATCAGAGGCAGAAACTTCTTACTGAGAATCACAAAGTACGAAGGACAACTGGAAACACAAACTACTGATTGGAATGTGGAAAGTTAGAAGTATGAGTATAGGAAAATTGGAGATTGTTAAGAAAGAAATGGAACACATAAATACTGACATACTAGGCATTGGCTAAGAAATGGGTTGGCATGGGATATTTTGAATCTGATAATCATCTGATCTACTACACTGGAAATAAAAAGGTGAAGAAAAATGGGGTTCATAGTTAAAAAGATGATTTATACATCCATATTGAAATATAATGTTGTGAGTGACAGGATAATATCCATATGCACACAAGGAAGACCTGTTAATACCACTATCATTCAAATATATGCACCAACAACTAAGCCAAAGAGGAGGAACAGATGACTTCTACCAACTTCTGTAGTCAGAAATAGGTCGAACACGCAGCCAAGTTACTTTGATAATAATGGGTGACAGGACTGCAAAACTTGGCAACAGGATGGAGATAGAATGATAGAATTCTATACAATCAATGACTTAATTCTTGCAAATACCTTGTTAAGAAACAAATGGAGACTATACACATGAACTTCCCTTAATGGTCTCTACCGGAATCAGACTGACTACATTTGCAGAGGAAATTGCTAGAGAACCTCAATATGAGCTGTGAAAACTAGGCAAGGTGCTGACTGTGGAAGAGACCATCAACTACTCATATTTAAGTTCAAACTGAAGCTAAATAAAATAAATCCACAAGAACCAAAATCTGACCCAAAAGTCTATCCCACCAGAATTTAAAGATCATCTCAGGAACAGGTTTGAGGCCTTGAGCACTAATGAGCAATGACCAGATGAGCTGTGGGAGGATATTAAGAATATCATTAATAAAGAATGCACAAAGACATGTTGATTGTGGCTGAGTTGAGAAAGACTCATAGCAACCCTATGAACAAAAGGCCTAAAGCTTTTCTATAACTATCATCATTTAACAAAATTCATAGAGTTTCCAGAGGCATGAAAATACTGAGATGGATGACAGAAAGGACTCTGAATATTACACTAGAGTGCCAAGAAGTCCAAACAAAGAGAAGAAATCTAGAAATTAAAGAGCTGAACAGAAGATTTCAAAGGGCAACTTGGGAAGACAAAGCAAAGTATTGAAATGTGCAAGGAGTTGGAGTCAGAAAATCAGAAAGGGACAAATTTTACTTGGCATTTCTTAGACTGAAGGAACTCAAGAACAAGTTTAGGCCTCGAGTTGTAATATTTAATTAAGTATGCTGAAGGCAGAAAGTTGAATGACCCAGGAAGCATCAAAAGATGAAAGGAATACACAGAGGCACTATACCAAAAAAGAATTGGCTGACACAGAAGAATTTCATGAAACAACTATGGTGGTTAAGAAGAAAGTTCAACTACGGTGATGAAGAAGGAAGATCAAGATGCTCTGAAAGAATTGGAGGGGGGAACATCCAAGGCCCCAGGAATTGATGGAATACCAATTGACATATTTCAGCTAACAGATGCTGCCCTGGAAGTGCTTACCAGGTTAGGCCAAGAAAACTGGAGGACAACTACCTAACTAACTGACTGGAACAGATCTGTATTTATTGCCATTCCAAAAAACAGTGACCCAGAAGAATATGGAAATTATCGACCAATATCACTAATACCACATGCAAGCAAGATCCTGTTAAAGCTTACCTAAAATCAACTGGAACAGTACCTCAGCAGAGAACTGTAAGATGTGCAGGTTGGGTTTAAAGAAGCCATGACACTAGGGACATCATAGTGTTTGCTGAACCTTGGCCAAAACCAGAGAGTACCAGAGGAATGTCTATCTGTGTTTCACCGACTACTCAAAGGTATTTGATTGGATGGGTCACAACAAATTGTGACTAATCTTGAGAAGAATGGGGATCCTAGAACACTGACTTGTGCTCATGCAAAACCTATAGTTGGACTGGGAAGCAATAGTCAGAAAAATAGCAGGGGAGGCTGGACTTTATGAGGAGGAATGTGGCATCAGAATTGGAGGAAGACTCATCAACAACCTGCATTATGCAGATGACATAATCTTGCTTGCGGAGACTGAGAAGTATTTGCTGCAAAAAGTCAAGGACTACAGTCTCTAAAATGGATTCAAGCTCAACATCAAGTAAACAAAGATTCTCACCACTGGGCTAAGAGGCAGCATCATAACAGATAGAGAAGAGACTGAGACTGTTAACAGTTTCATCTTGCTCAGCTCCACAATCAGTACCCTTGGCACCAGCAGTCAGGAAATAAAAAGATGAATTGCACTGGTAAAATTTACTGTTGAGGACCTCTCAAGAGTGAAGAGCAAGCATATCAGTCTGGAGAGTAAGGTGCACATAATCCAAGCCATTGTCTTCACAATTTACTTGCTGTGCATCAGAAAGATGGATAATAAACAAGGATTACAAAAGAATTGATGCCTCTGAGTTATGGTGATCGATATACTATGGACTGCCAAGAAAACAAACAGGTATGTCCTCAAGAGGGTGAAATAAAATTGCTCCTTCGAGACAAGGATTTTGAAGCTCCATCTCACATACTTAGGGCACGTTGCCCAGAGGGAACAGTCCTTTGAGAAGGACATCATGCTTGGAAGGATGGAGGGATGGTACAGGAGGGGGGACCCTGGATGAAATGGGTTGACACAATTACGGAAGTAATGGGCGCATTACTTTTGGGGGTAATGTGTGAGAGGCAGTAAGAATGGCTCAGGATAGGGCAGGGTCCCGAGCTACTGTGCACAGGGTAACTATAAGTTGCAAATGACTCAAAATCACATAGCAAGAAAAACAATAGTGAACACTTGCAGAGTATCCAAATACTTTTCTAAAAGTTCCTATGTAGTAAAAAAGCTCTTTATATATATTAGTTATTTAATCCTCAAAAAAACTCTAAGAAATTCCTACTATTATTAATCTCTTTCAGAGATAAGGAAAATGAAGGACAGAAGAGTTAAATATGCTGCCCAAAGTCACATAGCTAGTAAGTGACAAATGAGGGATTTAAACCCAGTAGTCTCATTCCAGACCCATGACATGAGCCTGTGAGAGCAGTGTCAGTGGCTGAGAGAACCTAGGTGTGTTGCCCATTAGAGGCGACAGGAGTGAACCTAGAGATTTCCCCCCCCCCTTTTTTCCCCAGTACTAGCTCTAAATAAAATAATGGAACCACTGGAATAAAACAATTTCTCAGGTAGATTCCATTACATTAACCATTTTTAAAAAATCTTAGTTATCAGTTAGGAGCTCTGATGGTCTAACGGTAAGAAGCTGTGCTGCCAACCCAAAGGCATACAGTTCAAATCCACCATCGGTTCTGTATGGGTAAGATGGACAATTTGCTCCTATGTAATTTACTGTTTTTGAAAACCTGCTGGAGGGACAGCTATGTGCTGGGTCTGACTTAACTGCACAGAGCAACATCAGTATCAGTTAAGTGGAAAAAAACCAAAAGCTCCCAAATTGAGTAAAGGTATTTCTAATCCTAAATGGGATTCTTCCATTTAGTGGACATCTCACGCATGTAAGCCTCAATGCCTGCTGTCTGAACTGCAAAGACAGGTGAGAAAGACAGTGAGGGAAGTCAACCCAAAATTAGTAAATCAATCATCTAGGTTGAGTGAAAATGCTTTTGTTAACTGCTTTCTCCACCTGTGAACTGATTTAGATATTTCTTTAACAGTATTTTAAAATCACTTAAAAATGTGGTCTAGGGCAGAATGACTTTTACCTTCATCTGCTGCCTCTTCTGTTTCAGTACTGACCAGCAACTCGATGCCACGGCCTAAGCAAGAAGAGAAAACAAGGGTATAAATTTAGTTACAGAAATTTATACTTGTAGGAAAACAGTGATTTTTAGAAAAAAATAAAAAGTTTATATGTTTAAAAAGTTCAGAACATTAACTAGTAATATGTCATTTGCAACTATTAAATATTTATGACTATTAAATCATTTGTGATTATAGTTTTATTCTTATAAATTTTAAAATTATCTACAAAGTCTCTAAAGAGAAAAAGGTTAAACGTTGGTACCAAGAAACACGGTAATTACAACTCCTAAGGGAAAAAAAGTGGAGATGTTTGTACATAGAGTAACATATACAAAGAAATATTTTATGTTTAACAATGAAGACAAAGTATTGTGGGGTTTTTTTTCTTCAAAAACTGTATCAGTGGCAATCATTCAGGGAAGAACTAAACAGCTTAATTCAAATAAAGAATTGAAAAAGACAACCAATGAACAAAAGTTCACGGTAAGTCCTGAAGAAATCTAACCTTGCCATGATCAAATTTGAACCATGTCACTTAGCCAAGACAGTAATAGAAATAGAAAAAAAGTATCTTTCACAATTAAAAAATTCCTTATACTTGAAAAATAAGACAATTTATATTTTATAAAAACTTAAAAAGTGAATAGATAGTTCTAAAATACTGGTACAATGGCATATTGAAACATTTTTTAAAAGCCACTCAAGACAGGATATAAGAACAATATAAAAAAAATCAGTGGGATTCCACTACAGTAACAAAGAGAACTCAGGGAAGGAAACCAAGAAAGCAATACTATGTATAATAGCCCAACACAAATTGAGATACTTGGGAGTGAACCTAACTAGAGATACAAAAGACCTACACAAAGAAAAACTACAGAACATTTCTGCAAGACACACTAAAAGACCTAATAAAATGGAAAAATGTGCCTTGTTCATGGATAGGAAGACTCAATATTGTGAAAAGGACAATCCTACCAAAAGCAATCTACATGTTCAAGAAAATCCCAATACAGATACCAAATTAATTTTTTCAAGGAGATTGATAGGGAAATTGTCAAATTTATTTGGAGAAGCAAGAGACCCCGAATAAGCAAAACACTTCTGAGAAATAAAAATGAAGTGGGAGGCATAGCATCCCTGACTCAAAACCTACCACACAGCAATAATAACCAAAATAGCATGGTGCTGGTACAAAGGCAGGCACATAGGTCAAGGGAACAGAATTGAGAACCCAGAGTTAGACCCAGCTATTTATGGTTAACTGATATTTGACAAGGAAACCAAAGCTATCAAATAGGGAAATGACAACCTTTTCAACAAATGATGCTAGCAAAACTGGACTGCTACCTGCAGAAAGCTGAAACAGGACCCGCATCTCACATCATACAAAAAAAATCACCTCGAGGTGGATCAGAAACCTGGGAGTAAAGCTCCAAACCATAAAGTTCATAAGAGACAGACTGGGACCAAGCTTAGAAGGCCTAGTCTACAATATAAAGAGGCTGCCAAATACAGTTAGAAATGCACTATCTGAAGAGGATAAAATTGATGAACGGGACCTTCTTTAGATTAAATCCTTGTTGCATCAAAAACTTTTCCCAAAAGGGTGAAAAGAAGACCTACCAATGGGGAACAAACATTTGGCAATACCATCTCAGACAAGAGTCTCATAACACAAGTTTACAGAATACTCCTGGACCTCCACAAGAAAAAGACCAATAACCCAATTACACAATGGGCAAAAGATATGGAAAGAATTTTCACAGAGGAGGATATTAAAATGGCCAAGAGACAAATGAAGAAATGCTTCAAATCACTGGCAATAAGAGAGATTCAAATCAAAACCACAATGAGTTACCATCTCACTCCAGTAACCACTGGCAAAGTTTAACAGTACAGCAAGTAATAAATTTTGGAGAGGATGTGGCAAGAAAGGTAGACATTGTTGGTGGGATTGTAAAATGGGACAACCACTCTGGTGCTTCCTCAAAAAGCTGAACATAGAAATTTCATATGACCCAACTATTCCATTGATTGGAATATACCTCAAGAAACAAGAACTGAGGCACAACTGGAGACTTGTACACCAATGTTCACAGCAGCGTTATTCACCATTCCAAGAACATGTAACAGCCAACCACAATGGAATGGATTAAGAAATTATGGTACATTCACACAAAAGAATACTACACAGCATGCAGGAGCAATGACTTTGTAGATTACGACCTAATTTGGGAGGGAGTGGAGAGCATTATGCTGAGTGAACTAACTCAACCTCAGGACAAATACGATATAAAACCATTATTGCAGAATGAATATGAAGATCGAAGAGGGAAGGGTGGAGGCAGAGGGGTGAGGATGGGCGTTGCAGGGGGGGTTGTTAACAATAGGATCTCACAATTTGATGGGGAGTGAAGGAAATGGGAAAGATCTGGTTTGAAAAACAATGTATTTGAATTTTGTAAACAAGTAAGTATAAACAAAAAAAAATTTTTTTAAGCCTCTCAAACATGAAACATGATATCCATTGCATCTGCTTCCACACAGAAGATTAATGCTAAAAAAAATGTCAACAAAAGTTCAAGAAAAAAAATGGAGCATTCAAAGTACAGATTATAATTTAAAAGGTTTCATTATTGTACAAATCTATTTTTTCCTCTAATTTTTAATACTATTTGGGAGTATGAATCTACAGCTTTTTACATATTTACTAATTTTTAAAATATTACTTTTATGCTTGTTTTAATCATTCAGCATTACCAACAATTTTTGTTAACCTTGACTAGTCTGAGGCCCGAGTTTCTCTGGAGACCTGAAGAAACAGGACTCTCAAGGTTAAGACTGGGACTAGCAAAAAGGTAAAAGAGGAGAATTTCATGGGAGGGAGATATGCAACATACACTTTTCAAATACCAGGATCAAAGGAAGAGCTTGGTTTCTACATTCAGTCATTCTATAGGGAGATGTATATTTAAACCACTTTTATAAAATATTAAGTAAACTATTACTTACAGTTTCTTTGAAGGAAGGGTTTAGCCAGCGGTTATTCACTACATTCTGTATGGCCGTGGGTGGATTTTCTAAATCTTCAAAGGAGTCCATTAATATAAAATCCAGAACAACATCATAAAAATTTAGATTTTTCACCTGTAATAAATTATATTAATTAAAACTGAAATTACTGTTATAATGGGCTGATATAATCTGAGTCTGGGCCTTACCCCTTCCTAACGGCAGGGTTTTTAGTTGAATCAAGAGATTTTATCACTGAAAAAAACCACCAAAACAAAACAGTGAGGAGCGATAAAAACCAAAGCAACTCCCACCAGATGCTCTGCTGGAGGAGGGGCAATCTCCTGCACCAGTCAGATCCGATTTGACGGTACACACAAAAAACTAATAAAATAAAATTTTTTTTAAATGGGGGGAAAAAAACCACCCCAAAGCAACTCATCACCAGAAGTATACTAGAGGTCAGGGAAGCTTTCATTTTAGATTAGGGTACCCTAGGTAATGCAGATAGTGCCAAAGACAGGAACATAAGGTGTTAAGCGGAAAGAAACAGAAAATATGCTGTAGCTGTCTGTGTGGCTAAATGAAAGCAAGACAGTCAGATCCTGCCTGGAAGGACTTTAGAGTTTATCTCCACTCTATTTTGGGGCTAGGAAAGGAAGAAGACATGACTATCTTTGTACTTTTAGAAGATCATTCCAGCAGTAACATGGAGGGTGCGAGCAGAGGGAGTGGAACAGTGGGGAGGAAATACAAAGACAACTGAGACAGAAGACAGGAAAACTGTAACCACTTAGCCCTGAATGATGGTAACAGGGAAAGGAAACATTAAAAGATATTTAGGAATTGAATCAAACTTAGAGGTGAGTATGATGAAGCAGATGAGGTCCAGGGAGGTTTCTGGCCTGACCAAGAGAACTGATATACTTCTGCTGCTCAAATAAGAAAGCACTGGAGAAAATCTTATTTCCACATGTTAGAATCGACTGTTTTCACTGCCTAAAATGCTTTCTAAAACAAACAAAAAATACTGCCATAGCATTGATTGTGAAAGGCACAAACCACCGCACTGTGATGCCTACGCTAGAAATCTTTACGAGAGGAGACTGCTCATCTTTCTCCCATGAAGTTATTGGTGAATTCAAACTACAGAGTTTTTGGTTAGCAGCCTGACACGTCACTCACTATGGCACCAGCGGTCCTTAGAGTGTCTTCTGTTGTTATGTGTTAGCAAGTCAAATACAATTCATGGCGATCCTCTGAACAACAGATCTCAAGCCTGTCCTATCGTGCACGATTCTCATCCTCTCTGACATACTTGAGCCCACCGTTAGAGTTAATGTCCCAAACCTTCTTGTTGAGGGTCGTCTTCTTTTTTGCTGACCCTATACCTTTCCAAGCCTGATGTTCTTTTCCAAGAAAAAAATCTCTCCAAACAATATGGCCAAAGTATGTGAGATGAAGCTTTATCATTTTTGCTTCTAAGAAGCACTGTGGGTTCACCTTCTCCAAGACATATCTGTTTTCTTTTGGTAATCTGTGGGCTATTCAGAACTCTTTTCCAACACCACAACTCAAAGACATCAATTTTTTTTTCTGTCATCCTTATTCACTGTTCAGCTCTCACAGATACAGCAAGTGACTGAAAAGACTATGGCTTTGATTAAGTACACTGTAGTCTTCAAACTGACATCATTGCTTCTCCGTACTCTCGAGAAGTCCTTGACACCAGACTTCTTATTTCATGCAATTTACAACTTCTGAAAATCCAGTTTAGGGTCAGCTGTGACAAATGCCTTCTAGTCTCTGGAAAATGCTCGCATTCCAACAAAATAGTTTCTTTTCAAAAGTCAGTTCAGTCATTCTGTCTTCTCTAAAGCCTTACAAGATTTTTCCTAGTAGACCGAAAAGTCCCCTTCATTGAAGTCTGTTTTTAATTGATGTATGAATTAACCTGTTGTTGTTATGTGCCGTCGAGTAGCTTACAACTCATAGCGACCCTATGTACAACAGCCCTAAACTCTGCTCTGTCCTGTGCCAATTGCACTGTCTCCAACACACCCATCCCGATTACCCCAGTCACTGAATCAATCCACCTCCTAGAGGGCATTCGCCTCCTGTGCCTGCCCTCCACCCTCCCAAGCATAATGTCCAAGGACCAGTCTATCCTTACAACATGACCAAAGTATGTCAGACGAAGCCCCAGAATCCTTGCCTCCAATGAGCAGCTAGGTTTAACCCTCTCTAGGCTGAATCTGTTTGTTTTCTTAGTAGTCCATGGTACCCTCGATACTCTTCTCCAACACCAAAGCTCAGAGGCATCAATTCTCCTTCTATCCTCCTTAGTCATTGTCCAACTCTCTGATGCATAACAAGTGTTAGGAAAGACCATGGTCTGTATCACACGCACCTTAGTCTCCAGAGGGACACCATTGCTCTTCAGTACTTTAGAGAGGTCCCTAACAGTAGACTTTCCCATCGTAATAAGTCTTTTAATTTCCTGGCTTCTGGTGCCAAGAGTGTTGACTGTGGAACCAAGCAGACTAAAGCTGTGAACAATCTGAATCTCTTCACCATCCATCCTGATGCTGCCAATTGGTCCAGTGGTGAGAATCTTTGTCTTCTTGATATTGAGCCTCAATGCATACTGACGGCTGCAGTCCTTGACCCTCTGCAGCAAGCGCTTCAGTTCCTCCTCAGTTTCAGAAAGCAGGGTTGTGTCATCTGCATAATGCAGACTGTTGATAGATCTTCCACCAATCCTGATGCCACATTTTTCCTCATAGAGCCCAGCCTCCCGGATGATCTATTCTGCACAGAGGTTGAAAAGGTATGGATACAGGATACATCCCTGGCATAAGCCCTCCCCAGTTTTGAACCATGCAGTGTTTCCCTGCTCTGTTCTGACAACTGCCTCTTGGTCCAAGTATAGGTTTCTCATTAGCATGATCAAGTGTTCTGATATTCCCATTCTTCTCAGAGTCAGCCACAGTTTGTTATGATCCACACAGTCAAAAACCTTTGCATAATCAATGAAGCACAGATAGACAGTCCTCTGGTACTCTCTGCTTTCAGCCAAGATCCATCTAACATTAGCTACAATATCCCTAGTACCACGACCCCTTCTAAACCCAGCCTGAACTTCTGGCAGTTCTCTGCTGATGTGCTGGTCCAGTAGTTTCTGGGTAATCTTCAGCGGAATCTTGCTTGCATGTGAAATCAATGATATTGCTCTATAGTTTCCACACTCTGTTGGGTCACCTTTCTTTGGAATGGGACGGGAACAAATATCGATCTCTTCCAGTCAGTTGGCCAACTGGTTGTTCTCCAGATTTCTTGGCATAACTTGGTGAGCACGTCCAGGGCAGCATCTGTTATCTGAAATATGTCAATTGGTATACTATCTATTCCTGGGGCCTTATTTTTTGCTATTTCCTTCAAAGCAGCTTGAACTTCTTCCTTCATCACCATAGGCTCTTGCTCATATGTTGTTTCATTAAATTCTTACTAACACTAAATCATTTCTGACTCATGGTGACTCTCCACTGGGTGTCAGAGGCTGTAAATCTTTTACAAAAGAATACCGCCTCTTTCTCTTGTGGAGCAGCAGAGAGATAAGACCTGCTGACCTTTAGCTTAGCAGACTGATACAGTATGCACAACATCCCTAGAGTTCCTTTGAGCCTACTTTAGCTGCATTAATAAAATTTAATTTATCTACCCATTGAGGAGACTGAGTTCCTACTAAGTTTTTAGACCCTCAAAACCATAACAAGGAACTTAACAAGGTACTAGCTGTTGTTGTGTATCACTGAATTGGAACTGACCCCAGGCTGACATTCCAGTGGGTGTTCAGAGGCAATCACACAGGAAGAGACTGCCCTTCTTTCTCTTACAGAGCAGCCAGTGGATTTGAATCATATGCCTCTGGGAAACGGTAGTGCAACTTCTCACCACTGGGTCACCAGAGCTCACTTCAAGGTACTCACAACATATTAAATCTTTACTATATCCTTTTTTACTATATACTGACCTCCCTATGCTATTCCGATTGAATATCTTCCACAGGCCACCTTTAGTGCTTTACTAGGACCAGACCAATGACTCCTTGGCAAAGGAATGAAGAAGAAAAGGAAGGTTTTTTAAAAAACAATTAATTGGAGTACCAATACAAAGACTGTAATTTTTAACTGCTATTGTTTCCAAGTCTGCTAGAAGATATCTGTTACCCCAAATGGTTTTATTGTCAATATGGACAGGTAACAATGGCCTCAACATATGTAAATATTATGCAAATAAGGGTATGTTATATAAAGTATCCTAATAAGCAGGAGTGGCATCCACTTCCTAAACAACTTGTCTCTAAAAATTCTAAACTCTGATAAATGTTGGTATTTGTAGAGGGGCTTTCAGGCCTTTTGTTCACAGGGTTGCTATGAGTTGTGCTTGACTGAAAGCAATCAACAACAATGTAAATATTATGTAACTTATTTAAATATTATTTACATAATTAGAGAGCATGAATATTGTAAAATTTTTAAACTTACCCCTCTAGCAGCAAGTTCCATTTCAGTACTACCCCAATGGTCAGTTTGCTCTAAAAAATAGATCATTTCATCAAAAACATCCTCAAACTTCTTTGGATTCTGCAGAAGAAAAGATAGCATAATTTTAAACTCATTTTATATTAAAGGGTAGACCTATAAAGTAAGTTACTCTTCCAACAGGCTTGCTGGATTTTAATTATATTATTGAAAAGAATTAAAATACATTTCAAGTATCTGGTTTGCTCATTGAGTGCAAGGAAGCTCTGGTGGCTTAGTGTTAAGGAGCTGTGCAATCAACTAAAAGCACATGGCCTGAATCTACCAGATGCTTCATGGGAAAAAGGTCAATTTCCTCTCATATCATTCACATTCTCTGAAAACCTGTTGGAGGGTCAGCTATGATTGGGCTCTGATTTGACATTACATAATAACAGCAGCATGTACTAGAACACTTAATATTATGAAAATTGTAATACAAACAAAAGTGATCTACAGATGTGCACTTCTGAAAAAGAAGGAAAAAGTAACACTAATTTTATATGGAGAAAGGATTCGGTTTCTGTATCCTTCTTCCGTACCAATTAAA